TATTTTTTAATGGGAAACAAATTATATGTTAATCGCGCGATAATGCTTGCACCGCAATACATATAACACGATAATGCCTACCATTACTATATGCTATAGAAATATTCACGTGTAACTCAATATATGCATATAGTGATATAATGATATAAACACATGAATAAAAGAGGAGTTTATATACATGCTCGATTTCATTACGGATTATTTATCGTTTCTCACGTTCAACATACAATTTAGACAATTTCATTTTCTCGTGTTATTTAAAAAAAACAAAACGGATGTTTCATTATAAATAAATATCCTGCGATGTTGTGTGTGCTCGGTGTATCTTATAAGCTTCTAATTTACATTTGCATCTGGAGATAATTGATATTAGGAAACGCGTCCTCTCGTATTTCTATAAATGGACATTTATGAAATCACAATTTCATTTTGTGTTTTAACAATAGACAGTAGGCACTAGCATAATATTAGATAAAAAGTAGATAAAAAGGAATTATAACTTTTTAAGTTATATTTAGTTTAGAAAATAGTATAATAATATGTATAATATAATCGTTTTTTAATTAGAAAAAGTTCTTAAAATTTCATGATTTTTATTGAAATGTTTTAAGCGTGCGAGACAATTTGACCAATAATAGTATTTTAAAAATTATCTAATATTCCAGAATAAAATATTAATATTCTATTGTTTAAAAATTCTGAAATAAAGCTACTGACATATATTTTTAAGAAGAATTGAAAAGTTTCTTTCCACAAGAGTGAAAAATGTCTTGAAGCCAATAATGATTGTTTTAAGTAATAAAAATTATTTCCAGCCTATGTAAGATAATTTATAATTATATTGACAAGTCTCTTAAATAAATTTGATCTAGAAATTCAATCGTCTGTATGGAAATTTTGAAAAAATACGTCTTTATTATCTCATTTATATTACCATAAAAATCGTATATTTGTATGTTAAAAACATCAGATAGTGAATTCCGCTGATTGTGCTACTCTACACTGATATGTCCTAAAGATGTACGAAGATATCTAAATCCGAAAATTCGATATAAACGTCTTATAAATACGACTGATAAGATAATATTAATAAAGGTAGCATATTTTTAGTATTTTAGCTTAATGCATTAGGCTAAACTTTAGCCGCTAAAGTACTAAAATATGCTAACATTAATATTTTGCAGTTTATCGATCAGAATGTTCGTTGTGTTTCGATATTTAAATAATTTCATATATATAAGCGGTGCAAGTTGCTGGATTTACTAAGAGCGACTTCTACCAAACCTTCTCTGATTTATATCCATTCCTATCAATGCAGATTGATTAACTTTAATCTCGGTTTAATTTACTTCGTACCTTTTTCAAATGAGAAAAAAAGAGAAAGTAAATTAAACCCGATTAAATTACATAGGTAGAAATGAGCATTAATCGGTAATTAATTTGTCATATAAAATCTGTAATATTTTATTAATAATAGATATTATCAATTTTTTTTATTTGACATGTAAGAAGAAAAGTAAGATTAAGAACGGCGAATTATATGTCGTAATTAGTATTTTGGCTGATTGAATTAATCGTTAATTAAGTTAATTCGAGTTCGGTGGAGCGCTAGTAGGCCAGTCAATTTACGGTTTTAAATCGTCTAAATCGAATTCGGAAGCTTAATTTAAGTATGTGCCATTCGATAGTAAATAGCACTATAAACATTTTGCGGTTCGTCAACTCCGCTCGTTTTTGCAAAAAAAAAAAAAAAAAAATAATAATAATAAAATAAAAACCATAAAAAATTGGCCCTTTTCGACCTTTTATTCGAAACGCTGTGAAAACCGTTCGAGCAAAATTACACATAAACAATTTTGTAGAGAACCAAATTTTCTTAAAAAAGTCCGGGAAGGCATTTCTCTATAAAATAAATAGTTTAGGCGTGAGTGGTGCCCAAAGTCGCGCGATCGGAAAGTGTCTTTTCAACAAATTCACAATCGGCCAGTAGAAAACTATAATTTTCGTAAACTTTATGAGTCGCTCTTTATGATTCTGGCCTCAAAATTTCAAAATTTTAACAATAATATAGCGGACCTATAATGTTCAAATAGATGCAATTTGCGTGAAACTCGCTTTACATAGGTTTTTAAACTCACTAAATTCGAATATAACCTTAAAATTATAAAATTCAAAATAACAGATTTGTTCAGAACGGAACACGTTTAACTTGTCTCGCATATACTCGAACTAATGACATGAATAATGTCAAATAGTTTTTCTATTATTCTGGCGATTGTGATGCAGAGGCCGGTATTCATAGTTCTTATTTCAAGACCGTCTTAAGTAATGACTCTGCTCTAAAGCTGTAATCATACTATGGGTTACGGGCTCGGTTGCGGTGGAGGTTACGATTGAGTGTTAAAAACCAAGCAATCAGAACAAAGTAGTTCGCCGGCTAGGTTGCAGGTTATAATTTAGGCCGGTATTCATAGTCGGAACTTATTTTGAAGTCCGCCTTAAGTTAGATCTTAAGATGTTATAAACCAATCACAGAGCCGTATTAAGCCCCTTGCACAATGCCAGGCAACAGGCAATAGGAACAGGGAATAGAAATCAGAAATGTATAAATGCAGAATAAACAGTGACACAGACAATAGACACAGTTTCCGTCAGGTTGGAAATTCTGTGCCTATTGCCTGTTGCCAACCAATCATAGCATTTGAATTTTTTAGGTTGTAATTAACGATTTTTTTGTTATTTCCTGTTCCTATTGCCTGTTGCCTGACATTGTGCAAAGAGCTTTAGCATCTTAAGACATTACTTAAGGGTCGACAGGAGACTCGGTGGAGACCCCACGCGGCAAGTGTGAACTACGAATCGTAAAATTTATATTAAGCCCGGTCTACAATTCGGTTTTAACATAAATTTTTTTTATTAAGCGGTCTGATAGATCATGGCATACTTTCTTTGTAAACTTTTTGAATTTTTGCAATATCTTCAAAATTAAAGAAAATATAGTACACGAAAATGTGCTGTGACGTCATACCTTATATAAGAAATGATGTCATACCTTTTGAAGTTGCCGTCATCAAAGAAACTTTAGCAAGCTATAACTTTCTCAAATTTAGGTTTTTTTTTTTAATTCAAAAAGTACTAAAAATCGGCTTAGATTCTCTACATTAATTATGGATACCGCTTAATAAAAAAAAATGTTAAAACCAAATTGCGCGTAAACGTAGGGTTGTAAGAGTAGGAGTAGTAGTAGTCGTGAATCTTGTACAACGGATCAATCTATCAATAGAGTAACGATACGTTGTAAACTTGATTAAAGCAACCAATCAGAGTGCAGTGTGTATTTCGAATTTGGACGGTTTAGCACTCTGATTGGTTGGCTCTTACGTTCACATCTGGCGTAGTCGTGAAAGATGAAGTTCAACCATCTTCCACAACACGCTTTACAACCGCAGTACCGCTTTACAACCACGCCGTACAATACTCTTACAATTAGTGTCGGTCTACAACCTCGCTTTAAGAAAATATTTTATCTCTAAGCCTTAAGCTCTAAGCTCTAAGCCCTAAGCTCTTAAATAAACCTTAAAGACGGTAATCCACAATATAAGATGTAAGGCGTATAACGTTGACGTATATTAGCCAATAATTAGCCAAGATAGAATCGAGTCGCCGAGCGAAAAGTAGGGAAAGTAATTCGGAGAGAAAGAAACAGAGGTGCGTGCCAATTATATAGAGAGACAGATCGGTCGAAGGCCTGCGGTAATTTAACGAAGGAATGTTCCCGAACTATATGTACATTTATAAAATAAAGGACTGTCGTTATATTGAATTAAAAGATCTTATAGTATTTTCTCCGACACGAAAAAACGTCCTCTTTGCTATATGTCGGCTTTAAGCTTTATGTTCTAGGTCGTAAGAATTGAGTTTTGCGCAATTCGCTTAGATCTAACGGCTAAAGCTTAAATACTGCGCGGGAATGTCTTCGAGACGGAAATGACGTCACTTAATGCTTACGGTTTAGAGCTTAAATACCATTAAAGCAAGGTTGTAGACCAGCACTTACAACTACTTACGACCACGTTTACGCAATTGTAGAACAGCCTTTACGGCCAAAATAATGAGAAAATCGCACTTTAACTGCGATATTCGTAATCAGCAGCATCGCCTTCAAACTGCTACAGTGATTTTTTTGGAAAAATGGTCAAAATAAATTTTCGAGTTTTTATCTCCACCATGTCTTGATCAGCTGCTCCTGTCGACCCTTAAGACAGTCTTGAAATAAGATCCGACTATAAATACGGGCCGTGTAGTGTGATTACGACTTAACGAGCCGAAGATTCCATGGTTAGAATCGGACTTAACGACCTCAAATATCTATATAGAGTTTTATGTAAGTTGCATTATTAAAAAATTTGAGTCCACCATATTGGTTTCGCCATTTTTAATTTTAGCGTCAAATTCGAATAGTACCTACACCATAAAAATCCCTTATACAGCAAGTTTCATAAAAATCGGACTAATAGTTTCTGAAATATAATAATAATAATAATTGCCTATAGGAACCATCCGTTCTGAAAGGATTAAGCAATACATATATTATTTTGTTAACGTAGTTATTAATTTCTTGGTTCTTTAACGTGTAGAAAAAACGATTGGAGGGGTTAGAAGTTTCGCTACTCTGTTGGTTGAATCGAATCACCGATTAAGCTAATCAGAGTATCTATGGTCAAAGCCACCTTAAAAGTTTGTATCATATTCTTTTTAAGCATGCTACACATCCCAAGGATAATTAAGAGCATCTTGCAAAAAAAAGGAAATAGAGAATAAATGTGCGATCGTAACGATCGCAACACTGATAATAACGGTTATCACCAAGTGACCGAAGGAGAAGAGGGTGACGCGACGCAACTGGATACCGCGGACACCGTACGATGCAGTGAACGAGGGGCCGAGGAAATGAGGGGATTGTATCGTACAGCGCGCCGGCTTAAACGTTGCTTACTTACGTGTACGTGGCCATTGCTCGTCAGCGTGTAACCGTTAATCTTGCCGGTATCCTCAACGCCGCGCGAGGTTAAGCCGTTCCGCAGCGTCGACAGTAGCGACGGCAGCGTCTGCTTCTCGGCGTTTGCCGACGCTCCTTCGTTCCACGTGCTGTCAGCACGCAACCTCGTGGTCATCGTCGTCGGCTCGATCATCCACACTCAATCGCTCGCCGACCGCTGGTTTTCGCCAACGGTGATCTTCGCGCACGGCGCTAGAGAGTCCGAGCCGAGGAACCAATAGCACGACGAGACGGACGGCGAACGTCGCGATGCGTCGTCGTGCTTGTCGCTACCACTCACCAGTCACCACTCGCTAGTCTCGCTACTCGCAAACCACTCACCACACCACCGTGTAGCCGTAGCGCGGTGTATATACGGCGTTCGGCGTTTGGCCGTGGGCGCCGCGGTGGTCGTGATGCGGTGGCGATACACGTCGTCGATGGGCGCCTGCGCGCGCCGCAGTCCGAAAGATAAGCTCCTTCCGTACGTTGCTGTCTTGCCCCGCGTCCCGCGCCCCGCAGCATCGGCCGATGTTGCCTCCACGCAGGCTTAAGAGGAAGGGCGTTGTTCCGCACTGCTCCGCACTAAAATGCGTTCGAACTAACCGTGTCACGGTTATGTTTAGCTGGTTTAGCGTTTTCTTCCCTCGTTCGTTTTCCGCTTCCGCACAACAGACCTCTATTGAAAACGAATTCACACGCTTAAATTTGCTTCGCACCTTCAACGATTTTTCTCTCGCTACGTTTACACCAATGCGGGACGAGATTTATTAAACTGTCGCGCCATGAAAGCTCGACAACTTTTTTGGATAAAACTTTGAACCGTAGTGACTTTGTTTAAAATAATAAGAATAAGCACCGGCAGACGCAACACACTGTTTCCGGTGTGTTTGAATCCACGCTATGGAAATTTGAATTTTTGAAAGTGATGAACTTTAGGAAGACGATTTTGTTTGTTTTGTTATTTTTGAATATTTTCTCCGCTCCGCTAGAAAAAGTAATGATTTAAGAATTTCTTCGGCGCAGAATTGTAATGCGATAAAAAATAGATTTAATACGACTGCAATGATCTATATTTCAATGACTTATTGACACTGATTAAGCATAAATTAAAACGTATACTACCGGCCAACAAGTTTGAAACTTATATGTTACTTATATGTTACTTATATGTCTGTTATATGAAATGTCTACTATGAAAAGAGATAAAACTTTATGCATTGTAATTTAACATATTTTTATTATTTTATTTATTATTTTATCATAAAAGAAAGAATAATGTAAAATGTTTGAAGATTTTACAAAAAATATTTCTTACAAGATGAAAACAGAGTATTAGACACCTTTTTTTGTCGAATTAACCGCGCTTAAACATTTAATCGCTTTTTTAACTAATCTATCTACAAGTTTGTTTGTTTTCTTCTAACTTTTATCCATCTTCTAGAATAGCTCAGGTTTGTGAAAAAGATTTTGCGACCATAGTCCATTTTCTTAAAATTAAACAATGCTACGTTAATCTTAACTATGCTAAATATATAATGTCAATTTACTTTCAAATTAAGAAAAAGTATTGAGTAAGAGACTTTTAGGTATTAGTGTTTTATTGGAATATTTTTAAATTTTATATGTGTTCTCAAACTTTTGTCCGACAATGGCTGCATGCCACTTATCGCTCACAACACTCGCGAGCATCATTTTGTCCTTGTTTAACAGTTGACAAACAACAAGAATGAATTAAATGAAGAGACTTTTAGGTATTAGTGTTTTATTGGAATATTTTTAAATTTTATATGTGTTCTCAAACTTTTGTCCGCGACAATGGCTGCATTCCACTTATCGCTCACAACGCTCGCGAGCATCATTTCGTCCTTGTTTAACATTTGACAAACAACAAGGATGAATTAAGGTGCCAATTCATGAGACGCTGAAAATGAGCGTCAACAAGGTGAATGTGGTGGTTTCGCTTTGACGCTAGCGTCAAAGAAATGAAGTTGAATTTGTTTAATATTCAGCGTCGTCGCTGAATCGTCGTTAATCGTCCCAGTACAATCAAACATAGACTTTGAAATACGTAAAATATTAATTATTTTCAAGTAATATCTTCAAGTAATAATATTTTATGGATACATATATAAATAAAAGAAATTATTTCTGAAAATTTTTACTTGCTAAAAATGTGCGTCGAGCGTTAACGTGAAAAGGCACCTTTAAATGATTCCACGAGCGTTGCGAGCGATAAAAGGAACGCACCCAATGTATGCACCCAGGTAGCACAGCTGATCTTTATGAATTCATAAAGATCAGCTGTGCTATCTGGGTGCCGAAACTGAAGGAGATTATGATTGTTTGTTGTTCATGATGTTATTTCTTTCTCAAATGGAAAAAACCATTAACTCTCCATTGGCTTTGTTCAGCAAACGAACGTCAGTGCTTTCATCCCAAACAGCACAAAATATTTTCAAAAAATATTTCTACATATTTCTAGAAAAATATTGCAAGAAACATTTTAAAATTGTTTTAAGAATATTTTTAAATGGTTTAAAAACCTTTTGTGTTAACATTTTTAAGAATATTTTAAGAATCTTTTAAAAATATTTTTAAAAATGTTTTTATGTCACACGTGCATGGAAAGTGGCTCATTACGCACGCGACGCGTGCGTGATAGACCACTTTCCACGCACTGCAACATAAAATAGGGTGTGTAACACGTGTGTTAAGTTGAAAATTGGACGTGCGGAGTGGACAATTTTCAACTTAACACACGTGTTACACACCCTATGTACACCCTATAAATAACTATTCTTTATCACCTAGACAATATTTTTTTAAATATTTGAAATATATTATTGAAATATTAGTTAAAATCTATATATTTATTGTTTTATAATCTTGTTTCAAAATATTTAAAAAATCTCTATCTCTACTTCTCTACTATTATATAAAGGGGAAAAGTTTGTACCATTGTTCGGGGTAATCTTAGAAACTACTGAATCGATTTCAAAAATTTTTACACTGGTGGATAGCTTATGTCTTCCTGAGTAACATAGGCTATGTGCCATTGTGCTACAACCCAATTTGAAAAAAAATCGGGATATCTAAAATTTTAATTCTTGAAAAAGAGTCGTACTTAATGACTTTTCCTGTTCAGATTTTCCTAATCAACCAAATCTTAAAGTATTATATATGAAATAGGGGCAGAAAAAACTGAGGAATATAATAGAATTCAAAAAATTGCTAATAAAGGAGTTACCGATTTCTGTCTAAAAAAATCTACGTAATTGCTCTGATTTCCGCAAATTTTGAGATATCGAGTTAATTTTTTTTTATGGATAAAGTATATTGAATTTGGCGAGAATCGGTGAAAGGGTTGCCGATTTTTGCCTAAAAAGTGTGTAAGTTATATAAGTGTATAAGATGTCATATTTGTCATCTTATATAGAGTATCATTAAAGGAAGATTGTTTCGAATTTGGCGAGGATCGGTGAAAGGGTTCTTTCTTTATAAAATTTTGAATTTTTTGAGAAATGTTTGCTAATTTTGAGATATCGGGCTATTTATAATTCTATTATATTCTTCAGTCTTTTCTACCTTTATTTCATATATAATACTTTAAAATTTGATTGATTAGATCCAGCTTTATATGCGATCAAAGGTCCATATACAAAGTCCATATCATGCAGCCTGAACTCCCAAAGTCAATATTTATTTGATATTGCGTCGATTGCAAAATCCCACTTGTGCTACTAAGCTGACTCTCTATCAATTTATAAAAAGGTTAAATTTAAAATTAAAAACAGTGTGCAAATTAGAAACTTGCACATTGCTTCCTCATTATTACAGATCGTTACCATTGTTCCTATTTTATTTCGCTCATAAAGCTTCCTCTATGAGGAAGCCAAACTAATAAATACTAATAATTATGCATTAAATAAAATATAAGCTTATTTTTAATTATGAAAGTTCTATACTCCCGGGAAAAAAATATTATGTCTATCTCTATCTCTATCTCCATGTCTCTACATATATAAAAATAAATGTATGTATGTTTGTCCGCTATGCAAATCTCAGTTTTCAAATTAGAACCACCAAATTTGGTATACTATCTTATGATACTCTAATTTAGACCGTAGACGTATTTTGAGAACCGCATCATTACCGATTTTTTAAGAAACCAGTTCCAAAATTTTTCTAATGTATGTCTGTCTGCCAGTCTGACCGCGAACTACTTATTCATTAGTGGATCGATTTTCTGGTAACCGGTACCAAAATTTGTATAATTTTTCGGGGATGGTGTCGATAAAGAATAAATTAATATGAGAAAATAAAAAAAAAATAAAAAAAGCCTTTATACGAAATTGTCTAAAAAAGATGTCTTAAAAAAAAATTTTTTTTGGGTAAATATTATTATATGATCCGTTGTTGCTGACTTATGTATTGTTTCTCACTTGAGAAGGACCTAATTAAGGTTGAAACGTAGTGAGCTAATTAAATAAATTGATACTGGCCAGTTGGGGCGATTAATCTCGCATTTATTTGTAAATATTATTTATTATTCGGGGAAAAAACATCGTTTAATAAATTAGCCCGTAGAGAGTTTTGAGAAGGGGTCGAAGCGAGGGAAAAAGGTCTGCTGGGAAAGAATGTTTATTAGCATCAATTGCGTTTAAAATTTGATGATCAATTTAATTTGTGATGTTATTATTCTACTCTCACGGTTTTCAAATTAGGACAACCAAATTTGGTGTACTGTAACTTAGATCGTAGAGGGTTTTAGGAAGGGGTCTGAGCCTGGGGACAAGGGGCCCCCATACAAAATTGTCTAAAAAAGATCTCTTTAAAAAAAAAACTTTTTGGGGGTAAATATTACTATTTGGGGAAAAGAAGAAAGAGCTTTTGAGCCCGCGCGAAGCGAGGGCAAAGAAGCTAGTATTTTATATAAGTAATAAAGGCTAACAAGATTAAAAAGTTATGAAAATATGGAGCATCGAGTGGTAACTAGGTGTTGGCATTTAAAAATTCTATAATATATTTAAGTTAAAAAACTACAAAAAAACTACAGACGTTTCGGTCCATTATAGGATTATCCTCAGTGTCGAAATATAAATTAGTCAGTCGGTTAAAAATTATCGCATAATTACATTAAAATTGTTAATTTAATTTTAATGTAATCTTATGCGATAATTTTTAACTGACTTATTAAAGCGCTAGTTTAAGGTAAACCTTGCAAAATTGAAGACTAAACTTCAACTTTGCTAACGTGCACAAGGAGACCGAAATTTATTATGCTTTTTTAATCATTATGTTACAATTTTTTTATTGAGTTAAGACGATTTAACAGGGTAATAAATTTTCACGTCTTTTCTCTTAAAAATGTGTTCTTTCATATTCTGCCGCTAGATTTAGCATTATCCAAGGTCCCTTACAGAAAAGTATTACTGACTAAATACTTAAAATCTCAGTGATTTAATACTGTCAATATTTATTTGGGAAATACTGGAAAAATACTGGTAGTGATAAATATTATAGGTAGTGATTAATACTACACAGAACTACTGGTGCTTAGTATTGAATTACTCACCGATATTTCGATTTCTGATATTTACCCGGCATAAAAAAAATTATTTTTTTCGAAATTCAATTACTATTTTATAACTAAATTTGTTTCTTAAGATGCAGTCTATAATTATAAATATTTTCTCGTATTTGAAAAACACACTTACCTTGGTGGGATTCGAACTCGGGACCTCTGGATCGTGAGCCAACTGCCTTATGTGGTAGACTACTTCTTAATTTGATGTAAGTGTTATATATAGTCTACATGTGTCATAACCAGCGCAAATATATAATTTTTCAAAAATCATCTTAAGAAACAAATTCAGTTTAAAAAAAGAAATAAAATTTTGAATTGGATATAAGAATGATATCCGCAATACTATTTCAAAACTTAGTATACATGAGGGAGGTTGCATGGTCAGACTTAAGGTGGAAGCACATAAAATTGCAGGAGCCATAAGCAGAAGGCAGAAGCCATATGCGCATGCGTTATGGTATCTGCAGAGCTCTAACGGATACCATAGCGCATGCGCATATGGCTTCTGCTTTCTGCTCATGGCTCCTGCAATTTTATGTGCTTCCACCTTTTCACCTCTCCTGTGTGTGTGCGTGCTTGTGTGTGCGTGTGTGTGCGCACGTGTGCGTGTGTGTGGGTGCGTGCATGTGTGCATGCGTATGGGTGTGTGCGGGTGTGTGCGCGTGTGGGTGTGTGCGTGTGCGTGCATGTGTGTGCGCGCGCGCGCGTGTCGGTGTGCGTGCGTGTTTGCGTGTGTGGGTGCGTGTGCATAGTACACAGAGATAAGGATCTCACGGTTCGTCACTCCCGTAATATTTAATAACTCCAAACTTTTTCTACTGTGTTGTATGTGCGTGTATTTATGTGTGTATACGCGCGTAATCACTTCTTTATTAACGTGTGATGAAATGATTCGTATCAGAGTGATAACACACGATTTTGGGTGCGTTCGCGGAGCGCGCTATTAGCGCACTATTGCGTCATTTTATCCTTGTTTTACATTTAATGAGCGATAAAGATAGATTTAGGTAGAAGGATGCAATAGCGCTAATAGCGTGTTCTACGAACGCACCCTTTAAGACTCGCGCACATAAATGTACTACGGGAGTGACAAATGACAAACTGCAGAGTCCTTGGGGTCAATCATGTATTAAAGTGGAACGTGAAAAGTGAAAATTTTTATATGACTATCTCTTTCTATTTAACATCAATAGAAAGAGATATTTTTCATTTTTCACGTTTCCACCCTAGGGGAAAAGATTCATGATTGACCCGCTTATCTCTGTTATGCGCTTGCGCATAAGCCTGCACAATTAGGCTTCGTATCACATTCATTTTATGGCTGTTTATTTAATTGTCAAGGGGAAAGGATAATTTTCGAAACATTTTTGAAGTGCGCTAAAGTGATCTGGGTCCCAATTCTGTACACGCTTACCGACAACTATCGGTTCGATAAGCGTCGTTGCGCAGCTTTTATACGATATGAAAAACCTGCGCAACGACGCTTATCGAACCAATAGTTGTTGGTAAGCGTGTACAGAATATAGGCCTATTCTGTAACTCTTAATGACAGTTTTCGTTATTGTTATATTTGCGTTGCGCAAATATTATATATGGTATTATATATGGTAAAAAGCTGCGCAACGAGAATATAACTATAACGAAACTGTCGTTAAGAATTACAGAATAGGCCACCTGGACACGTATTATGGGACTTTTCGAAATAGATTCCGATCGGAATTATTCTATTTTCTCTATAAAACAATAGAAATTTAGGAAATAGGAAATAACTATACAATTCCGATCGGATTCCATTCCGAAAAGTTCCGTAATACGTGTCCTGATCGAAGTATTTTTTTCATTAAAATATCTTCTTATTTGCAAATGGTACGCAAGAATTCTGAGTGTCATTTTTCGCCTCTGACGTCATAATCTAACATGACTGCGGCGAGTATCCAGAAGCTTTAATGCACGTTGCAAGAATTTTTATAATATATTTTTTCGTTATCAATCTGAGACGGCTGTAGTGCGAGTAAACACAGGAGCCTTAAAATAAAATACTGTATAAAGAATTAAAGAAAAAATAAAACATAAAATACAAACAAAATGAAACAAACAGATCTATTTTTATAAGATAAATCAGGTCAGTTTCTAATTTGTTTTAATACCGATATGTAACAGAATAAGAATTACAAATATGAAAAAACCAAGTCACTAATTTTTCTACAAATTATCGAAAGATTCTTAAAAAAGTAGTTGAGATTTAAGAATGTTTGTTAGAAATTTGTTTTATATTTTGCAATATAATTTATATTACAGTACCTATATCAACACTATATAGTATTGATAATATATCACACGTGATTTGTTACAGGATGTCCCCAAATTGAATAACATTACAATAACAAATTTTTTGGTCAATTTAAAAATCCTTTCTAAAAAAAGGCATGTTAAATCGATACTCGCATCTCTCGAAGTCTTCTCGAAAGTCTCGAATTGCTTTGTTGGCTCTTTTCCGCGATGCTGATTGATTCTGTTGCTGCACTAACTTCGTGAGCGGCTGTCATAGCATATTTTGACAGTTGTGTGTAATATTAAAGCTAAATAGCGCGCGCAAAGCGCGCGTCTGTGATGTCTAGTAATTGAAAAAAGGCGTTTCGCGTACTTTAAGAAATCAAATGAACAGCAAATAAACATGTTTAAACTTTAAACAATTAATTTCAAGTGTAATTTACTTTGATAGAACCTTAATAAAAATCTTAATTATAAAATTATTTAATACAAAATTTAAAAATTGCAATAAATTTATGATTTTGTTGGATGTCTCTGCTAAGAGAAAACCGATTCCAAAACTGGAACTAGAAAATCTGTGAATGAACATCCAGTGATTTTATAATACCCTAGATACATAAACATTTGCTCCTATATACACTTTTTCTGTTTATCTTATTGTTAACCAGTGCAGATTTGCAAACTTCCTTTTGTGAAGACCTAAATCACCGAAGTAACATCGACCTGCCGTTCAGCTGGCGAAGCAAACGGTAATAATCGGATCGAACGCGACGGCGGCGACGGCGGCGACGGCCGCTGCTTACTTCGACGTAGCGAACGGTAGTGGGGACGGTAGCGACCGCGCGATTGGCTTGTGCTACTTGGAGCAACGGGAGAGGGCAACCCTTCGCGAGGGGAGTATACATCTCATGACGGTCGAATCTACCCGTCTACCGTTTACGTCGAACACATCGAATACAATTGAATTTACTGGTATTTGGCTTTGCCGTTTCGCACTTCGCGGTCGCGGTCGAATTCTTTTTCGAGTTTCCCTCACCGCTGGTCTTCTCCGTCCGTCGCGATTCCCAGTTTCGAATTTCGACTCTTCGTGTCGTGTCAGCCGGTCGCGAGCGACGTATGACAGGCAGTTATAGCTCTTCTGGTACGTTCGCGCATCTCTCACGAAGTGACGAAAAGAGGCCGTAAATCTTTCTCATCAGGCGTGAAAGACGCGGCTAAAGGCAGTGGTGAGTCAAGGCGGCAAGGACGTCGATGTGCTCCACTGAGGAGTCGCGACGGCACCAACGACAGCGGCGGCAGGTGGGAGTAGCGCCGCTCCTCGTACCTGACTTTTATGAGAGTAGGGAGCGTCGCGCAATATTCCGCGCAACCGACATTGTGCGGGGATCGAAGCTCTAACTAACGGCTATCGGCCAATTCGCGCAGATCCGGTGAGTCATTGTTAATCGCCAGGCGTACGAATCGCTGTTAATCCCGTGATTGAGGATGGATTCGCGGATCCAGGACGCCTTCAACGACGTCCTCCTCAAGAGGGATCACGACTCCGTTGACGATTTTGAGCATCTCGGTCACGACGGCTCTCCAGACGACCGTCCGGAGCAGCAGCAGCAGCAACAGCCGTCACCGCGGCCGATTGACGCGCCACGTGTCGATGATTTGCTGCATATCGGCGATTCCTTTCAGGATTCCATATTACCCAGCGCGCTTCTTGACGCCGAAGCGAAACCCGTGCCGGCTACACCGCCGCCTTCCGCGGATTTCGACAAGTGCGCGGCTATGGCGCAATCGTCGGACCCGTTCCAGCAGCCGCTGGACCCGGTCGATCCCAAACTGGCCAGCATGACATTCGTCGAGACCGAGCGGGCCTACCGTCACCAGTTTCACGATGACGATGATGACGACGATGACAATGACAACGACGACAACAAGGAGGAAGAAATAAATCTCCTGCCGCCGTTGTTACCGACCTCAACCGCGACCACCGTTCAAGCTGACAGCGACTTTCTGCTGTCGTCGTCGACGAAAGCCGTCGACAGCAAGGTGCAACCGATCGAGGAACGCGAGGATCCTGCAACACTGTTCACCGATTATGGAAAACGACATGAGCGTGATGTCACTCCGCTGGGCAGTACTAATGTCAACGAAGATTTTATGCAGAGCATTAGATCGTCGATGCTGCCGGCGCCGGAGAAATCACCACTGATAGATTTCCTCGGAGACGACAGTGAGTCGTCAAGGGGGGACAAGATTAAGAATATCACAGACGATGACTCGTGGAACATGGTCAAGAGAACAGACCTGAAGCGGGAACAGGCCAGGGCGTTCGAGCCACCGATGAAACCGCTACCCCCGTTACCTAGAGAGGCGCAGCTCCTGGAAAAGGCACGCCAGGACGTGTACGAAACATCGAGTGACTTCTTAGCCGCGGAGACCGCCAAGCCGTCACCATCGCTACCGCAGCAAACCGTCGACTCGAAGCACGAGAGTGTCAATAAACGGCGTGAAACGTCGAAACCCAAGGAAGTCGATCATGTCTCTTCTCGCCCGATCGGCAAAAAGAAGCAGGAGATCGAGATCGCGCCGAAGGAGATATTTAGAGATATGGGATTGGGTGAGTTCCGGTTTCGTTTTGTTTCAACAATAAATTACCGCGATCTCGCCTGCGTAAAGTTCAAGTAATCATTTACTATGAGAATCATTCTACCCAGACAGCACGCATGTCCAAAATCGGGACGGAAGACGTCTTAAAGACATCTTTAAGATATCACTATAAGACGTTTTAAAGATGTCTTATATGCCTTAAAGATGTCCCAATTTTTGGACATGGTGTTGTCTGGGTACTTATATATTCTCAAATATAGCAATTGTCACGTTTGGCTATTATACTGTATATCCTACTTCGGTCAGCGAAAAAAATTAAAGCTTATTTATTGCAATAAAGCCTGAAGGTTTCTTGTCTTCTAAGGAAGAACGCGGTATCGCGATTTGCTTATTTCTATCTTGGTTCGTATCTAGAGTTCGTATCTCGAGCACTTTGTTTCTATCACAGAATGTGGAAAATATTTTCCCGCTCAAAGTTCGTAGTATCATACACGCATGTTAGTTCAGGAATCGAACTTCGGATCTCTCGCTTAATAGACGACTATTCTAGCATATTCTATCTATCCTAAGCCATCTGCAAAATTAAATATAGATAAAGAACTTAAATTTCATGATAACAGGTTGACAAACATTTTTTCTCAGCTAGCGATCTCGCAAATATAATATTAAATATATATATAGGATGCCATGTAATGCTAATCATGTTTGATTTTAACTTGATTATACATATCAAGCCTTTTTTAGTTATTCGGCTCCAAGAAAATTAAACGGGTTAAAACGGTTCCAAAAACGATTAACACAATATTATAATATATATAATAAATAATAATAAAGTTGAATGTAAATTCAATTAATGGTCTTAAAAATTACTGTACACAGTAAAAAATTTTGTGTATTTTTGTTAAAAATGGAACTTGTTAAAATTTTTGTGTTAAAAATGTAACATACTTATGTGTTAATTTAACTAATTTTGATTATGTTATCTGTTATTTTATATTTTTTTATGTTAAATTTATATTTAAGTAAATCAAATGTTAAAATAACACATTTTACATTTAATCGTAAGATTAATATAAAAATAATGTAGTTTTGTTAAAAAAATATCCTTTTTATTTATATTTAACATTATATAGATGTCTATTGTACGTACAAAAATGTTAAATTAACATGTTTTTATTTATATTTAACATTATACAGATGTCTGTTGTACATAAAATTTCCGTTCACATATCATTAAACTTTTCTTTATTTTGTGTTAAATTATGGATATAATATTTGTGTTATAATTTGACATATACACATTATGTTAAATTAACACAAAAATTTGAGTGGACCGTTTGGGACATGTAATTTTATGTTATATTTAACATAAATTTTTTTACTGTGTAAAGATCGGGAAGGGGGATATCCAATTTTAACGAAATCGGAGAAGCAACAGCACAAACATTCAAACGGAATTCCGCACAATGGAGTAACATCGAGTACGCATCTAATATTCGGGAACCAATAGTCTTGACGAGAACATGTTAATTAATTTAGTGGCGCTGCACAAATCCGACCATGCCTGGAAGTACTTCCGCCTGGTTACAGCGTCTACCATCGACGTGATACTTGCTCAGCTATCTTTCGTGTGTTGTGTGCACGATTAAAATAGCTGTAACCTGTGTACTTTTTTTCTCTACATAACGCCACGCTCTACTTAACAACTAAGAAATAATGCATTCCACGGGGAGCGTCGACGCGCAGAAAATGGATGATGTTGGCACTAATTGTAAATATAGTTCCAGGCAGTTACGAAGCGTTTAATAATAATCACAGATCAATATCGGTAAAGATAACAATCGTGAAATCGGAATCTCGATATCATTTTTTTCATACATTGAATCATATCAAATTCCGGATTGTAACTCTATTTACCTACATGTCCTTTTAGTAAAAACTAGACACTACAGACGCGCGCTACGCGCGCGCTATTTATCTTTAACATTTCACTATTAACCCTATTATACACAACTGTCAAAATATACAATGACAGCTGCAAATGAAGTAAGCGCAGCAAGGAAACCAATCGGCATCGCGGAAAAGCGGCAACAATAAACTTCACATCTCCTTTTTAGAAAAGGATAGTAGATTAATCCTTTTTAAAGAGACTTATTATATTATATTTTTATAACGAACAATCGGAACTTATATTACGACATTATAATATTATTGCTAAATTTTTTTGTAATCGATAATCGTGTCGTTCCGTATGACTGATATCACGAGTTGAGGTCACCTCTTGTTATGTATTATATTGATCCATGGAGATACCTTTCGGTTCCCCCTGTGCGTTTGTTGCGTGTCCTAATATGAAAACCGAGAAGTGCAAACCTGTCATGTTATGTTATGTACGTGGAGATTTTTCTTTCTAAAAATATATTTTTTTCATACATTTAATTTTGGATTATGCAGATGCACTCAATTTATCTAGCGACGTGTTACTATTGCTCGTAAAAATTATATAAAAACTTTTATTATTTTGTTTTAATAAAAATTAATGCAAACACATTTGCAGAAAAGTAAGATTTTTTTAATTTGTCGTTTCTAAGAACCATTTTAACATTTTTGCACGAAAAAAATCTAAATTTGCATTGTTTCGCTTTATTCTTATCTACGATAAGGAAAAATTTTGCGAAACAATAGCCAAAATTCAAGTATACAATGTCCAGTCATAGAATGTCTTTTACAGCATTTCTAGTTTCTGGATAATGTAAATAATAATTGAGTATAAGCTAATAAGGTGTTTTAAGTAATTTTTAAGGTGTTTGAGAGAGAAGGTAATGAAATTGTTAGTCAGTTTCAACCTTTAGAGGGTTACAGAAATGTTAGATATAACGTCTCTAATACTAAAAAGAAATATTTTTTTTAATTACTAACAAAAGGAATCTCTGAGATCAGAATAACAAAATTAAAAATGGCGAATCGAATATGTCAATCATGAAGAAAATAATTTTTGCATACATGCAATCGATTTACACTGAACTTAGTAGTTTATAGGTTTTTCAGATAATTACGAATTTGGGGTCACAAAGTTACAAAATTCTAAATAGCGGATCCACTATTTTGAATTTTATGATTTTGACCTCAGATTCGTAATTAGTAATCATAAAAACCTATATATAAGTACACGTAAATACATAAATTTACATGTAATTCAACAAAAAATATTTAAGAAATTTTATCCTTATAGGACTGTAAGACATATTAGGTATAACGTCGAAATTAGTGTCATATTTTGCATGTATACTATACCTATGTTAAACATATGCAATATTTTTTCCTAGAGCGAAATTTTTGTGATTTTGTAACAGAAATCTGCGATCCTAAAGATTAAGTAGGCATTATCTTAAATTTCAATTTATTTAAGGTTAATTATAAAGATGACAGTAAAATTAAAATTCTTTAAGTTTTGCTAAGAAAAAAGTCGTTTTTAAATTTATCAGAAAATTGTGGTTAAAAATGATATCATGTATATTCAATTTTTTTTGAATTGCATCAGCCAAATAACTACGTGTGTAGTTTCTTCTATTGGTGCACGTTTCATGATTCGTAATATTAGTCATCGACTGTTATGTAGCGTCGCATACACTGACTTAGGTTTATGTATATACGATGATTCACGTCACACGACCGCGTGTTCTCTCATTTTTTGTAGGGAACATTTTGCAGCTTATAATATATATAACATATATAACGCAAAAATATATAAGGTATTTCAGAACGAAGCATTAAAATATTTTGTAGAAATATTTGTAATAATTTTTCGACAGAGGGAATGAATAGTTAAAAAAACTTTTGTTTTGAGTCATAAAGTTTACAATACCTTTTTTATATATGATTATTTTTACAAGTTTTACAACGGAAGTTGTGGAAGTGGATACAATTCTGAAAATAAATACAAGATAAATGAAAGTGAATTAAGTATTTCTTTATTATGTAAATTTTCTTTTACCAATGAATCATCACTTTTACTTGAAGCAATATCTTAATTTGGTTTTAAAATTCTCATGGCTTTTCAAATTCTCTGGCGAAATAGATTTTCCTGTGCTCCGATGAGTTATTTCTAATTGTCTTAAAATTATTATTTAAATTTCTTACAACCTTATTGTAGTATTATTCCGGAACATTTTATAATACACATATATGGATTATGAATCTTGGGATCCACGAAATATATTTTCAAAAATACGTTTTGAGAAAATTAATTTCTTGTATTATTTTTTAAGTCAAATTTATTAATTATCCGGATTAAATATTAATGTGGAAAAACTATTTTAAAAGCTGAAATTTTCAGAATTTGGATCCGGCTTCCTATATAGATGTGAAAGTACAGTTAGGTCCGATGGTTATCTTTGAGTGCTTTAGTAGAATCAAAGATAACTAGTAGTACGTAACAAAGATTCATATTGATTTGTATCAATGTATTATATAGTCGATGATTAATAATCTGTTTTGTGACAAAATAGTTACGCTCGTACGGAATAAGATCAAATATAATTTTGCCGAAACAAATAAAAATACATTATTTTTTTATCTTCATAATGGAAGAAGATATACTAAATGTATCTAAATAATGTATCTCTCTTAATTCTTCTTTTGTCATTTCTCGCTCTATGATACAGTCATTTATTATATTCTAGCACAATTTACACTTACATTTATTTCTAGCATATAATTTCTAGCTCATGTAGAAAATACGTATATCGTGATGTCGGTGAAGTTGGCATACCCGGGAAAAAAAATCTCTTATAATGTCTTATATGCTCATATAAGAAGCGATCTTAGATGCTCATATATGAATTTTGGCCTGATAAGAACTTATATGGTCATATATGATTATATAAGATTACATAAGGACATATATATTTAACCCAAAGTAAGTGTTTATTCCGCCAACGATATTGAGCCAAAACTAAATATATTTCTTTCGACAACAATTGGCAATCCATACATATAGTTACACGACGT